GGAGCCTGTGTGTCGGGCACCAGAGGCACCAGTGGAGCCTGTGTGTCGGGCACCAGAGGCACCAGTGGAGCCTGTGTGTCGGGCACCAGAGGCACTAGTGGAGCCTGTGTGTCGGGCACCAGAGGCACCAGTGGAGCCGGTGTGTCGGGCACCAGAGGCACCAGTGGAGCCTGTGTGTCGGGCACCAGAGGCACCAGTGGAGCCTGTGTGTCGGGCACCAGAGGCACTAGTGGAGCCGGTGTGTCGGGCACCAGAGGCACTAGTGGAGCCTGTGTGTCGGGCACCAGAGGCACCAGTGGAGCCTGTGTGTCGGGCACCAGAGGCACCAGTGGAGCCTGTGTGTCGGGCACCAGAGGCACCAGTGGAGCCGGTGTGTCGGGCACCAGAGGCACTAGTGGAGCCTGTGTGTCGGGCACCAGAGGCACTAGTGGAGCCTGTGTGTCGGGCACCAGAGGCACTAGTGGAGCCTGTGTGTCGGGCACCAGAGGCACTAGTGGAGCCTGTGTGTCGGGCACCAGAGGCACTAGTGGAGCCTGTGTGTCGGGCACCAGAGGCACTAGTGGAGCCTGTGTGTCGGGCACCAGAGGCACTAGTGGAGCCTGTGTGTCGGGCACCAGAGGCACAAGTGGAGCCTGTGTGTCGGGCACCAGAGGCACTAGTGGAGCCGGTGTGTCTGGCCCACATGTATGCATAATGTCCCCACAGGACAGGAAGGGCAACGGTTCTGAAAGCACCAGACGAGCTTGCATTCTAACGCTGGATCTCAAGCTAAACAGGGTTGGCCCTGGTATGTCCCAGGACGGGTGAGCAGGTCTTGCTGGAAGTGCCGTGGAGGTCCAGTAGGGGGCGCTTCATACCTCTGGGTCTGCTGATTCAATTTAAACACAACAGTGTAATAAAGAAGAACATTGTTGTGCGCACGGTGACATCTTTCGAGCATGTAAACTCATGTTCTGGCCATCTTTGGTCTCTAATGAGGAAGTGCCTCTATCCTGAGGACATGGCTGTAACATGGCAACCGTATCATCCCCAGTTTCCTGTTGACTCATTCAACAGTTAGTTGGTTTCTGTCCTGTTGATTGCAAGTGTTATTTGTAGGTATTCGTGGAACATGTATGATTATCTCATTATGTTTATTATTATGCGTAAAAAAACGTATTTGGTGTTAAGTCTCAGAGTTAATTGAGTTTTAGAGGAATTTAAGTTTTGCTGTGTTCTTATCGAAACACACCCGTCCTTAAACCTAATGTCTCCTGTAAGTAACTCTGGATAAATGTGTTTGCTAAATGCCTGAAATAGGATTAATAAAATGTAGACATCTTGTAGCTTCAGGTAATTGAAGCTGCCCCTGCCTCCTCTGTCTCTCCTGCCTCCCCTGTCTCACCTGTTTCACCTTTCTCCCCTGCCTCATCTGTGTCCCCTGCCTCTCCTGCCTCTCCTCTCTCGCCTTCCTTCCCTCTCTCTCGTTCCTCCCCTGCCTCACCTGCGTTCCCTGCCTCATCTGCCTCCCCTGCCTCACCTGCCTCATCTGCGTTCCCTGCCTCATCTGCCTCTCCTGCCTCATCTGCATCCCCTGCCTCTCCAGCCTCATCTGCATCCCCTGCCTCTACTGCTTCATCTGCGTTCCCTGCCTCATCTGCTTCATCTGCCTCTCCTGTCCCACCCAGTTGGCCCATGACATCACTCTGCTTCTGCCTACTAGGGAGTCTCCTTTTTAGGCTAGGGTCCTCAGGCTTTAAGGATAAACCTGGAGAGGTAGCGTGGTACATCATGATGGTCCAGTGCTGAAACAACTGTTCCCATAAGAGCCAGAGCAGTAGGACCGATTAGAAACCATTACCTCAGCTATTTTCCTAGGTGACAATAGGGAAAATATGAGTCCAGCTCTGAGAGAAGGAATGACACGTGCCGGCGGCCAGTGATGCAGCTTCTCCACCAACTCAGCATGAATTCAGCCTGTTTGACTGCCCAGTTCCCAGACGGTGTCACCAGGAGCTAATTGTCCAGATATGCCAACGCTCAGAGACCTTAACAGGTTCTGGCTCAGCCGACAGTTTGACAGGACACTCAAGGCACAAAATAAAACCCGTACAGAAGCTCATAGGCTACGATTTTTAAATGAAAGTAGGATCTTTAAATTGTGATGTAAGGTTGCGTTTGACCTACTGCCTGGCTGGAGGAAACATTATGACCATGTATGACCATGTATGACCGGGTATGACCATGTATGACCATGTATGACCGGTATGACCATGTATGACCAATATGACCATGTATGACCATGTATGACCGGGTATGACCATGTAAGACCGGTATGACCATGTTTGACCAGGTATGACCATGTATGACCGGGTATGACCATGTATGACAGCGTATGACCATGTATGACCGGGTATGACCATGTATGACCGGGTATGACCATGTATGACCATGTATGACCGGGTATGACCATGTTTGACCGGTATGACCATGTATGATTGGGTATGACCGGGTATGACCATGTATGACCGGGTATGACCATGTATGACCATGTATGACTGGGTATGACCATGTATGACCGGTATGACCATGTATGACCATGTATGACCGATATGAAGCTACTAAGGAGGCTAGTTCTCGTTCATGTTGTTTATTGGGGTGAGTGCAGCTACTGTCATTGACCCGTTGGATCTGGGAAGTGAAGAAGTGACGTGGTTTACAGAACCTGGACGGTGGGTCTTATTGGGGCTCCGTGCTTCACTTGTTTTCACTCAAAGCTTCCGTTGAGTTACGGCGTACGAACATAAAACCCACTGATGTCGTACCAACTGAGTTCCCTCCGCATGGTGGACCATAAAAACATCATTTTTCACCCGCTGTGACCATAAAATTATAGAGACTGGTGTATTTGTTTTTATCACTGTGCAGTCGCAGTTCCTCCTGGAAGGAATCAACAACATAATACCAGCCCATCATTCAGCACACTGAAGACGTACAGTTCAGATCGGTTGCATGGTCGGATGAGGAAAAATAAAGTTTTCCTATTTTCCACGGCGCCGCGGCTCGCGGAAGTTTCATCCGAAATTAAAAAGACCCCAGACATATCAGTTTGTTATTATGTGGCGTGGTGCAGCTGTGTAATAATGCACTGTCAGCAGAATACTCGCTCTGGTACAGTGTAGATTATGGATATGGCTGGAACGCTCCACGGCCCATCAGAATGAGCTATGATCAGATCTGGCCGTGTTGTAATGCGCTGTATTGCCTGTAATGTGTTAGAGTGGGGCTGTCTCCAGGTCAGTAATAATGCGCTGTATTGCCTGTAATGTGTTAGAGTGGGGCTGTCTCCAGGTCTGTAATAATGTGCTCTCAGGTGGGACTTTATCTGGGGCCCAGGGGCCTCTGTCTCACTTGCTCTTTCTATCTTTCTGCTCCCAGACAATAAGGATATTTGAGCTACACGTGCACCACTCAAATACCCTTCTCTTTCAACCCCCCTCTGTCTCTCTCTCCCTTTCTTTCTCTCTTTCTCTCTCTTTCTCTCCCTCTCTAAACCTTCTTTTCTTTCTCTCACTTTCTCGCTCTCTCTTTAAACCTCCCTTTCTCTCTCTCCCTCTCAAAACATCCCGTTTCCTCCCTCCCTTTCTCTCCCTCACTAAACCCTCTGTCTCTCCCTCTCTCTCCCACCCCCCCCGGCCCCCGTATCTCCACTGTCATATTTGCCCTACCACTAGCTACCACCAGCTGCACCCACAACAACAGGGCCAGCTGGAGGAGGAGAATTTGGGAGAAAAGAGAGGGGTAATTTAAAAAGGAAATGAAGAAAAGTGTGATTAATAACTCTTGTTGTTCTTTAGCTCAGTCTCATAACAGTTTTAGAATTCATTTTTGTGTAATTACTCCTCTAACAAATCCTGTGAACTGGAGAATTGGTCCGTTTATGCTACAGGTACTGCCCATTTGCTAGCATACTCCACGCCAGTTTTTTGGTCTGTATTTCTTTTTCTTCAGCCCGTGTGAGAACATATGAATATCTCTAACCCACTAATAATGTTTGCCAGCCAAGAGTCGTTTCTAAAACAATTTGATCGAAATCATAGTAGACCTGCTTTGGTCTCATGTCACATATTTTTCTAGAGCAGGTTTTTCTTTTTTTGGCCTAATCCTTGAACGTTATATTCTCTGTTAAAGAAACAATTGAAAAGGTACAATTCTTTTATATATTCAAAGCTGCTATCCAAATGTTTATTGTTACTTATTTGGACCTATTGCCTCCTTCGATGTTTGAGGTTCTCCACTGACAACCCGCTCTGACTACTCGAGCCTGCTAAAGTTGGTATTCTAATACATCGAGTGGATTTCTCATTCTGAGAGGGACAGGTGTGTTTGGCTGTGTGAGATGACAGGGCCTTGGTTCGGCGAGCATAATGTTGTTTTCTCCACGGGGAATTCTGGCTTTTAATAGTGAGTGAGAGAACCAAGGACAACCCAAGGTTAGAGCTAAGAGCTCTAGAAAGGATTTGGTTTAGTCTCCACAGTGTCACATCCACTGTGTGTTTGTGTGTGGCTGTCGGCGTGTGCGTATGTGAACCTGTCTGTTTAAGGAAAAGCTGTCGACAGCAGAACATTCCAAACATTTTAATGAACAGCGCCACGCTCTCTCCTACCCCAGAGGAAACTGGGTTACCTGTCCTAGAGGGTTCCCGTTTCCAAATTCATTTATTATCAAACTCAGTGGTCAGAGGTCACCAAGCAGAAAGGAATTGAGAATCTACACTGCTGTTCTGCTCCAAAAAAGCATTGCTGATAGTAATAAATACAAGTATATGTGTTTGTATATGTATTTACTTTTGTTCTCGACTATTTTTTGGAGTCTAATTCGGACCAAGACTCTGGTTTACCTGTGCTTCCTTACAGGGGATTTTGTAGAGTAAAATCTGAGGCTTGTCTTCCGAACTATTTAAGACTTCTGGTTCTTGTTATAACAATTCTCACTCAACCAGGAAGTGAAATGTGGAGCGGTTGGTGTAGCTCAGTGGTAGAGTGCGATGTATGTATGATGTCCAGGGTTCAATCCCCAGCTCCTCCCCAGGTTGCTGTTGCAAATGGGAATTTGTTCTCAAACAAATTATAATGCAGAATCTGTTTGCATCAGAGAGATATATCTCATGCCACCAGCCATTATTGACCAAGAGACCAAACCCTCTCCTGTCATGAACTTTATAATACATTTCTAATAACTCGCTTGTTCTCTATTTAGGAGAACACTGACTACTTTCATGTAATAAACTTATTGACAGAATGCTAATTACTTCTCAATCATTAATTTATTGATAAACTATTAGCAACTTTCCAAGCCCTTCCAGGGCTGTTTAGGATCTATATTCCCCTCCTAGCCTCTTTATACATTAAATTAAGGCTCTGCTTGTAGATCTGGTTGGAGCACAGTCAAAAAAGGCTGTGTGCAACCCCTGCACAAAAACACACTGAACGCAACCACACAACACACACACAGAGAAAGAACACATGTGTTGTGTATTTCCTCTGTCCATGTGTTTGTAATACAGTTTTTATGCTAAGTAAGAGTAGTGTGTGATGATGGCAGGTCTATCACAGTGCTGATGTCTGATATAGACCCAGACTGCCTTGTGATATTGAAGACCCAACAGACCAAGGCCAGAGGAATCGGGAAGATGGACAGTTACGAAAGTATGAGAGACAGACAGATGAGGAGAAAATTGATTTTGACAGATATTATTTGCCAGACAAAAAAAGATATACTGAACACTATACATTTGAAAAATGTGACAACCATAAATAATAAAATCCATTACAGCCACTAGTTCGTGTTGTAAGACGATAGTAAAATGTAAAGCGACATTTTACAAATGTAAAAACAAGTCATTTAAAAAAGATATGCTGCCACAGCAGCTAAATTTGCTACATCAAGCCTCCAGAAGATTGGAGCCTGGATCTGGAAGTTCATAGCTTAATCGTTGTCTGAGGAAATACATCTACAAGTCTTGTTTTTGTCCCTGTTCAAGTGAACTCTGGGTCTTTCCCCCTATTGGAGTGCATTCAGAGCCCCTTTAAATAACGTAATAAAATAATAAATCATCATAATCGAAAACAATAACTATAACTGAGGAAATGTGAATTATTATAATATAGGAGCCACAGAAGAGCTGGTTCCTGTGGTTCTGTATGAATTTAATGTATATTGGTCTAGGCAGAAGGCGCCAATAATTATTATAATATAGGAGCCACAGAAGAGCTGGTTCCTGTGGTTCTGTATGAATTTAATGTATATTGGTCTAGGCAGAAGGCGCCAATAATTATTATAATATAGGAGCCACAGAAGAGCTGGTTCCTGTGGTTCTGTATGAATTTAATGTATATTGGTCTAGGCAGAAGGCGCCAATAATTATTATAACTATCACAGAAAGAACTGCCTTCTGACAAGGAAAAGAGCAATAAGAAGAACACATTCAAAGTTCTAACAGATAAATGAAAAGTATATTGTTGCATTCATCCTTTTTATTCACTAATATTGTTATAATATAGTTAAATATAAAACATGGTTTTGATTAGTAGATGTTATGTAAAATCTGGGGAATCAGAGGCAACAGCTGAAGGACAGAGAGGCCAAAGAATTAAATAAAAGTGGAATAAAGAAAAATGGAGAATCAACAGCAGGGAGGAGAGTGTAAATGAGGATAGAAAAATGAGAGAAGTGTTAGCAGGAATGTATTTCCTAAACATACACATCTGTTCTGCATGTTATGTTGCTCCCCAATGAACACAGACAAATCAGCAGTCACTCTTCCTGTGGTCCAAACAGGAAAAAGTTCAATTTACCCCTGCATATAAACAGCTTTTAGATTCGCTTTTTGGTTTCTGAACAAATGATCCAACTCTGTAGTTTCTTCTTGCGTGTGCGCGCGCATGTGTGTGTGTAGAGTGTTAGGCCTTCTGCATTATTGATGTTCACGCCATTAACACATAGAGAGGCTGTAGATCTCTCAGAGAGCGGCCGGAGTGATGACACACACACAGTGATCTGACTCAGACCCAGGTCAGGCAAGCGTTGTCGTCGCCGTATTGACTGTCGGAATGAACCACACAACCGCTCACGCTCAAAACACATCTATCAATGTGTGTGTTGTGTGTGTGTGTGTGTGTGTGTGCGTGTGTGTGTGTGTGTGAAGGGAAGGCCCATCTATCAGGCTGACTTGCGCATGCTCTCTGGCCCACATTACGACCCTGACCTTTCTACCATCAGTCTCTCTGCATGTCTGTAGCACGATAGGCCGTGTCTGTGTACGCTGGCTGTGTGTGTGTGCTGGCTGTGTGTGTGTGTACGCTGGCTGTGTGTGTGTGCTGACTGTGTGTGTGTGTGTGTGTACGCTGGCTGTGTGTGTGTGCTGGCTGTGTGTGTGTGTGTACGCTGGCTGTGTGTGTGTGCGTGTGCGTGCGTGCATGCATGTGTGTCGAAGGTCCCAGCACTCATGGAGAGCTGAATCTCATTCCCCAGCCTGACGGATGACTGCTGCTGAGAATATAGGACACACACGCACACACTTTACACTCACAATTGTGGTCTCACTTCATTTTCACCATCTCTGGAGGTGTGGTTGCTGGGAGACCGCCTCCAGTTACATGCTCTAGTTTTAACACGAGTTTGGTTTGGCCTGCAGGGGCACACGTCTGACTGGAGACTGATCTGTTAACACACCTGCTGTCACCCGAAGTCATGCGATCTGAGGGCTGCGCTGCGTTTCACTCACTTAATGTAAATCACTAACGTCGCTCCGACGCAGAGAAGTGTAGAATTACAACACTCAACCTGTATTCAAATGCCATGGCTAGAATGCATAAAGGAAAACAGATGTGAGGGACCTAAGAGGAGAGATGGAAAGACGGGGATATATAGAGAGAGAATGAAAGAGGGAATGATATATAGATAGATAGATAGATAGATAGATAGAGGGAGAGAGAATGATATATAGATAGAGGTGCAGTGGTGGCAAAATGGGACAGATGCACCTAGTAGGAAAGATGTGTGTATGTGTAGTGTGTGTGTGTGTGTGTGTGTGTGTGTGTGTGTGTGTGTGTGTGTGTGTGTGTGTGTGTGTGTGTGTGTGTGTGTGTGTGTGTGTGTGTGTATCTATGTGTAGTGATGTGTGTGTGTGTGTGTGTGTGTGTGTGTGTGTGTAGTGTAGTGATGTGTGTGTAGTGATGTGTGTGTTTATGTGTGCGTGTGATTGTGGTGCAGTGAAGCATAGCAGGCAGCAGGCCATGGAGTCATTGACAGGAGGTGAAGGGAACATGTTTCCAGTCAGACCTATCCTGCTGACCTCTATATGTGTGTGTGTGTGTGTGTGTGTGTGTGTGTGTGTGTGTGTGTGTGTGTGTGTGTGTGTGTGTGTGTGTGTGTCTGTGTGTGTCTCTCTCTTCACGGTCCCCGCTTTGCTGTGAGATGTTGTTTTATCTGTTTTTTATAATCCGATTTTACTGCTCGCTTGAATTACCTGGCGGGAGGGAATTCAGTGCTTTCATCGTTGTGTGTCGGCAATGCCAGGGGATTTATCAGGGGCAATGCCAGGGGATTTATCAGGGCAATGCCAGGGGATTTATCAGGGCAATGCCAGGGGATTTATCAGGGCAATGCCAGGGGATTTATCAGGGCAATGCCAGGGGATTTATCAGGGGCAATGCCAGGGGATTTATCAGGGCAATGCCAGGGGATTTATCAGGGCAATGCCAGGGGATTTATCAGGGCAATGCCAGGGGATTTATCAGGGGCAATGCCAGGGGATTTATCAGGGCAATGCCAGGGGATTTATCAGGGGCAATGCCAGGGGATTTATCAGGGCAAGTCCAGGGGATTTATCAGGGCAATGCCAGGGGATTTATCAGGGCAATGCCAGGGGATTTATCAGGGCAATGCCAGGGGATTTATCAGGGGCAATGCCAGGGGATTTATCAGGGCAATGCCAGGGGATTTATCAGGGCAATGCCAGGGGATTTATCAGGGCAATGCCAGGGGATTTATCAGGGGAAATGCCAGGGGATTTATCAGGGCAATGCCAGGGGATTTATCAGGGCAATGCCAGGGGATTTATCAGGGGCAATGTATCACGAGTGGTGTGGGGGCGTGGTTACACAGGTTTAGTTTGGTGAGTCACTTCCGTGTTTACGTTCTGCACAAGCTGTTTTGTATCTGTCATTAGTGGGCTATAAAGGTTCGGCGAGCAAGACACTCCTTGCTCAGCATTGTTACTACGTCACGTTATTTTATGGTGAGTGTTGTGTTTGTAAAGCACTGTGTGGAATGTTTTGTTATAAGTCGCGACTGCGCAATTTCATTTCATTACAGTTAGTTACGTTTTCCGTTCGTTGTTAAGTGTTTGGTTTGATTGAAATAAACACCACGAACGAGTATCACGACTCTGCAAATGGCTTCATACTGCACTACACCCCTGAACCGTGACACAATGCCAGGGGATTTATCAGGGGAAAGAAGAGAAGGAGAGGGGGGAGTAGATAGGGTTAGGAGTAGATGAATAGAGGAGAGAGGAGTAGATGAATAGAGGAGAGAGGAGTAGATGAATAGAGGAGAGAGGAGTAGATGAATAGAGGAGAGAGGAGTAGATGAATAGAGGAGAGAGGAGTAGATGAATAGAGGAGAGAGGAGTAGATGAATAGAGGAGAGAGGAGTAGATGAATAGAGGAGAGAGGAGTAGATGAATAGAGGAGAGAGGAGTAGATGAATAGAGGAGAGAGGAGTAGATGAATAGAGGAGTAGATGAATAGAGGAGAGAGGAGTAGATGAATAGAGGAGAGAGAGAAGGAGAACATAGTGTGGTGATTAAGGAGGATAGAGCATTCATTACTCTGTTCCTATGAGCTCCATCACAAAGAGAAGAGTTCTCCAGAGACACCTGTCTCCAAACACACACACACTCACACACACACTGACTCACACACACACACTCCTGTCGGAGGTATAGCTGGCTAAACGAAGCAGGAAAGTGCCACAGGGAAGCTGTGAAATACACCTCCTCTCATCACATAATCACTCCATCC